ATTGAAACTGGATAATCAAGGCACTGATGTTACTCAGAACAGATCTGGTCAACTTCCTGAGTCCTATTTTTGATGAGTGCTCTACACAGCATGAGTGAGTGGCTATTAGCTCCAGTAAAATGTGGAAATTATATCCAACATATCTCCTAATCTTTTTTAAAATTCAGCTTTTCAGAATCAAATCTAATCAAAACTTTTATTTAGGTTTTGGTGCCTATTTTAGTTTTTATCTTTACAGCTTTATTTCAAAATGGGTAATGGTGGTAGGAGCCCTGATTAGCACAGTGGTTAGAATGCAGTATTACAGGCTAACTCTGTGCACAGCCTGGAGTTTGAGCCTGATGGGTTCAAAGTTGACTCAGCCTTCCATTCTTCTGAGAATCTGTAAAATTAGGAGTCAGATTGTTGGGGTGGGGTATATGTTGATATTGTAAAATGCCCAGAGAGTGCAATAAGCACTATGGGATGGCCTATGAGTCTAAGTGCTGTTGCTATTGTTGTTGGGATATGTCAGAAGGCTAAATCAGAGCCCACATGAAGTTTTTGCCTCTTTTTTAAATCACTTCGAGAGCACTAGACTCCCATATAGTTCACTTTGTTTTTGCCACATCACAAGCAAAATGTAATTGATGGTGTAACATTGGTGAAATATAGTATGAGTGTCTTAGATCTGAACACCTATTTTCCCACTTGCAATCAAACAAAAATGTTTAACTCTACATCCCATTGACATCACCATATCATCACCATCTTCTCATCACTTTTAAAGTCTAAACTGCAGCTCTGTTTTTTTAAAAAAATATTTATTTCTGCCCCCTTCCTGGACCAACAGTCCCTACTCACAGTCACTCATGCCATAGTCATTTCCCGTCTTGATGTGTTGGAGCCCCATATAGACCAACGCGCTCTACATGGAGCTCCACTTGAAGAGCATCCAGAAGCTCCAGTTGGTGCAAAATGCAGCAGCCCGTGTGGTTTTGTGCGGACACTAGTGTGCACATGTATCACCTCTCCTGCAGAAGCTGCATTGGTTGCCACTTTGCTTCTGAGTGCAATTCAAGATGCTGGTTGTCACCTTAAAAGCCCTTCATGGCTTGGGACCAGGTTATCTGAGGGACCATCTCTTGTCGGTCACATCTACCCAATCCATCAGAGCAGGGTGGTAGGGAATGTTGGGAAGCATTGTTTTATATTTGATGAGACATTCATCATTGAGGCCCTCTCATACTGCCCTTACATGAATAATTTTCTTCCTGCTTGTAATTTTATCATAAATACAGTACATAGGAATACAGCACACAAAATGATGGCTAATACTTACACTGGTGGAAGACACAGCTTCTTGGACACTCTCCATAATGAATTCCTTTGTGATCCTGCGACAAGGCAACTCATTGAACAGTGAATTGATAAGAGCCACTTTTGCAGCATCTCGTCGTGCTTCTGCTCTACTCAGGGAACACTAAAATACAAATAAACATAAGAACTGGAGCAATATTTCCCATCTTTTATAAGATGAGGTTGTCCTTATTATACTTAACACCAAAGAGAAGAATACTTGATGACCTGAAAGAAATCATTCTTCTGAGATGAGTCACCATCAGCTGAACGTTCCCACATGGTTGCCAGTTTTCACTTCTTCTGGGGTTAGAAGAAGCATTTTATTTCTTTGTAATTCATGTGGAACTGCTTGTTTTGTACAGACTCCAATAATACTCTGAAGCTTTGGTCATTCACTCATCTCATAAGAATAACTTAGACAGCTGCAAAAGGTGTTGAAAAGGTCAGCCAAAATAATTAAGGCGCTGGAGCACCTTTCTTCTGTGGAAGGACTAAAATATTTGGAGACTTAAAGTTTAGAGAAATAGAAGTAATGGTGGGGAGATGAGATTTATAAAACAGTGCATAATGAGAAGAAAAGGCACGTTCTTCCACTCAGGTGGAATATTAAAACTCAAGGCAAACACAATGAAGTTTATGGGCCATATATTGAGAAGGCAAATAGTAACAACAACGCCATACATATTTGTATGCCATGGCAAATCATAATTATCAGGATTCTGGCTTAGCAGAAAACAAGGACTAAGTTAACACATGATATCTACTCCTACCATGCCTTCCAAGTGACAATTTAGTATAGACAACTTGGAGGCTTGTTTACAACTACAGAAGTCAGAGAGATATCATATGCACCATGATGCTTGTGCAAATGAAATTGCAATTCCTCACTGATGTTTCTTGCTTGTCCTTACAAACTTGTTCACTCTGTCAATAGTATCTCACACTAGTTCCACTTGAAACAAGTCAGGGAAAGCATCTATACCAGGGGTGTCAAACTGGTAGCTCATGGGCTGGATGCATCACAAGGAGGCCACGTCCACCCCAGCTCCATGAATGGGGAAAATGTCATAAAATGTCCCTTGATGGCAATGTGACATGACGAGTTTGACACCCATGTTTTATACCAAGTTTATTTCTTTGGATATCTATAAAAAGCTATTTAACTATTTAATATGAATTTTATATTTTTAATTTTGCATTGTCCAGAGAGTGAGATGGGAGGTCTGAACATTTGATAAAAAGTTTTTTTTAAAAAAAAACCTAGCTTGGATGGCCCAGTAGACTATAAATAATACAAGTAGACTATGAATAATTGGTTTATTGGTGTCCATTTCAAAGAAACTAATGGGCACAATCCAAGCAACACGTGCTAGAACTGCTGATTTCCTGCTAAACTAGTATTCAGGAGATTCAGGTTGAATGGTGGCTCACTACCTTAGTTATGGGAAAGACTACAAAGAACAGGTAACAAATTACAGATAGGCAGTAGCTGTACGTAGTTTGTTAGTCCTACCTACTGTTGTTTTCCAATGGTTAATTGCATAGTTCAAGAGAATGGCTAGTATTTATTTTTTCTACATTTCCTAAACTTGTCTAATTTTTTTTTGAATACCATCTAAGCTCATTGCCACTGCCAAATTTTTGCAATGCTGAATTTTGCATAAGTCTAGTTTAGTAGAGAAACACATGCTTCAACACTCCCTTGATGCAGTGAAGACTGTTCGTTCTTCAGTGTGATTAAATATTGGTAGCATTGGTCTGTGCTTGTTATAATTGCTTGCATTTTCCCTTAAACAAAATCCTTACAAGAAAGATAAAATTCATTTTCCTTCCTACTTGCTAGTTCAATATATTTTGAAAAATCTAAGAAGCCATGTACAAAGACTCCTGAACAATCTCTGAAATTTTTCTTGCACATCTTTTACAACTTTCTTGAATTGCCCAAGTCAATGTAGTTCACCAGTTTTCTTCTATTAGTTTTAACCTTCTCCTGTGGGTTATATGAATATTTACTTTTTCAAATTCCTAGACAAAATTCAGAACTGCATGCTTTTAATAATAAACCTTATAATAGAAACCAATCCAAACAATTTAGATTTAAACCATATTTGCAAAGGCTAAACCCAGTAAAAAGGCAAGATAAAAGAAACTATTTATTTTAAGTACGACCAGCAAAGTAACAGATCAAAGAGACGGCATAGATTTAAAAGCAAATAGAAAATCTTTGCAGGCTGAGAGATTTACACATCAAGAATAATTCTTACCTCTTTTTTGAGAATAGTTGGTGACACAAAAGCTTAAGTAGTTTTGAAGATTATATTTTAGTTCCTGTACCTATGTTTTCTCCTGTGACCTTCTTAATACCCATCCTCATATAAGCCATATTCATCATTCTGGGAATTCATGAGAACTGTGGAAATCTTAGCCATTTTTTTTCCTGAGGGCAGAGGTATTTCCACAGATTGTTCTACGGAAGTGTTTAAAAAATTTGTAGCAATATTCTTAGGTGAAAAGAATGAAGTAGTCAGTATGAACATGAGAGAGTGTTCACCCCTTTTAATTAATGGAGGCATAGCAATACAAGGCAAATCTGGCAGAGAAGCCTGGAAGAGCCAGCAAGCCGAGCGCTACTAGTCAGCTGGTGTAAGCTACTTTGGCCCATGTGGTGCACCAAAGATAGGCACTCAAGCGTCAAATAGAATGGACTAGCAATTTAGGCTGTCAGGACTGCATTGTGTCTAGCATCACGCTGCTAAATAACTAATTCCCACAAGGCTATCAAATAATTTACTAAGACTGTATTAATATTATTCTCTTCCATACTAGTATCTATCTCTTCCAACTTATTACTATAACCATGTTGCTTGTATCTTTCAATTTATATTGATTTTATTTGTTTCCTAATACGATTTGATAGCTTATTAGCAACCTTGACTATCACTAAGTGTTGTATCTTTTTATTCTTGATGAATGTATTTTATTCTTCTTATGGACACTGAAAGCATATACACCAAAGACAAATTTCGTGTGTGTCCAATCACACTTGATCAATAAAGAATTCTATTCTATTCTATTCTACAGGTGAATCTCAAAAAAGAATATTAGAATATCATGCAAAAGTTCATTTATTTCAGTAATGAAACTTAAATGGTGAAACTAATATATGAGATAGACTCATTACAT